ATCTAATTCAGTAATAAATTCACACAATATTAATAACAATCATCAAGTTGACTTTCCTGTTGACTCCATTATAAGCGAACCTAAACTCTATGTAAGTGACTTACAATTTAGTATCACTGAAAATGAACTTCGTGACTTATTTGAGGACATTCAACCCACAAGGTTAGTTTCTTATTCATTGCCCTTTTTATGTTAAATAAAACGTTAATTAACTAATTAACTAAATTTGCTTATTTTGAAAATTTTATAAATAATAAAAAGCGTCCAAATCAATCGATTGCCAGGGAATGCTCCACATACTGCTGTGATTACTTTTGCTACAATAGACCATGGTAATAATATTAATATTACAAATAATATCACAATTATTATTGTCATCATTCTAAATAAATATTAAAAATTATATTTTTATACTCGAGCCTTTATCTAACGATATAACGCCACAAAGAAATTTCGGGGATCAAAAAACTGTTGCTTCTAATTAAATAATTTCTCATTTGTTGCCCTTTTGTTTATTTTTCTTTCTCAATTGCTTGATTTTCTAGTTTGCTTTTAATTGACCTTTTGTAATTATTTTTATTTTCGATTAATTTTAATAAAATGGTCGACATGTATTGTGTACAAAAGTTACATAATAGAGGTTCCTGTTCCTTGTTTGTATATTAATATCCAGCATTGGCAATTTGGACTGGGACTATTTATAATTGAGGTAACATCTGATTTTGGTAAAGTTTTTGCTAAAACACCATGAACTATTTTGGTATAGCAGAAAATTTTTATTATAAATCAGGTAAAGCAATTTTTAAATTAGGGGTGGGTAAAAAAAAATTTAAAATAGAAAAATAGGCAAGGGTTAAATATAGAAAATTTTGTGTTTTCCATTTTAAGTAATTTTCTAAAGCCCTCCTTGCTAATTACTAACAGTATTGGCCATGGTACCAGTCCATTGGTGTAACATTTCAATGAAGTTACATGTCATGTCTTATATGGGCAAATCTTTTAATTTTTTGACATGTTATATGCTAAAATTGGTAGAGAAAAAGTTACTTAAAAGAGTAAAACTCTAAAATTTACTAATAGTCCAGTTGTTACCTCAATTATAATGTGAAGATGTTATAGTTATGAAATATGCACAAGCAGGGTCTTAAAGAAATGCTTTACAATCGGATTCAATTCTTTAATATGGAAAACAAAAATTAATTCATTACAAACTATTATTCATGGTCTAGAAATTCTTGTAATCCATGAATTAAAACTTACTCATCGTGATTTTCACAGTGGTAATGTTTTGACAGATGATATTTGTGACCACAACAAAGGAGCAGACAAGTCAACCAAAATAGTTGGCATCATTCCTTATATTACATCAGAAGTTTTATGCGAAGACCTGTACACTAAAGCAGCAGATATATACAGTCGGTGTTCGATATAAGGAAGAATCGATTTTTGGCGAAAAACTTCACTATATCATTATATGAAGGGTTTATATTAAAATCATTATATCGAGCTGAAATTTATATATAACGAAATTTCTCAATTTCATTATATCGTACGATTCACTATATGGTAGGTTCACTATATCCGAGTACTGACTGTGAATTTTCAACAAGCTCTCATTTAGCAACGAGGTACATGGTAATAATTTGATTCTTAAAATTTGCTGCGAGGGGAATTTGCAAGAGGAAAACCAAAATTTTACCAAGAGTTGGTTAAAAAGTGCATTGATTCAAATCCGATAAACAGATCAACTGCAACAGATGCAGGACAAGTTATAGAATTTTGGTCTGACGCTTTGCTCAAAAAAAAAAAAAAATTTTTTTAATTCATTATAATGATATTAGAATAAAATATGATGTTGATTGTACCGAAAGGAAATGGAAATCATTGGATGGAGATTTGCCGAATCAAATATAGAAAATCATAAAGCAGCAATTTTTCCTTGTTTAAGCTTCAAACAATTTGCACAAAAATTGAAATGGATATTTTCTAAGCAGATTCTTTGAAGTTGATTATGTTTACGATAAATAGGTTTTAGGGATTATTATTCACAAGCTATAAAATCCGTCAACCATAGCGATTTCAATGATTTACGACAATTTAATTTGAATAAAAATCAATCATGTGATTTGATTTTTAAACAATATATATTTTACATTAATCAATAATTGAGGAAGAAAAAAAATTTCTTGATTATACAAATTATTGATTTCTTGTAATTTTCAAATTATTTTATTTGATGGGAAATTGAAAAGTAAAAATAATTATTTCAATGCATTTAAATATTCGAAGAATTTCTAAAACACGAATTTCGTCGACAGATTAAATAGCAATAGTACATTTATCAACCAATCCACCAAGATTTACTTTTATTTCGCCAATCTTAAATATTATATGAATTTTTATTTTAAAATTAACAATTATAAAAAACTGCTAATATTTATAAATTCATCTTTGCCAACATCGTCTAAAGTTGAAGATTGATAATAATAACCTTTTGATTTTTCGTATTTGCTAAATTTTGGAAGAAAATAACAATAATTTCAAAATGTAATAAATGGCTAAATATTTTACACTAATGTTTTAAAGAGTCAAACAGAAGAGCTTCAATTCACTTCGTTTGTAAATATATTTATGTACCATTAGTGCAAGATCCTTTGCTCCTCAGAATTTTACAAAATGTTAATAATTACATATTAATTATTATTAAAAAAAGGTTTTGCTTATTAATTAATTATTATAGTGTAGACTTTGATTTTTTTGAGTTCGCTTGTGCTTGATAAATAAGAGGGATTGGGTCAAAGAAAGGGTCACTTTTTCGTCGTTAGAGGAAATTACTTGACAAGTTGGTTCCCCCACAGGTTGATAGCCGTGATTCCGAACGAACGATCTTATTAAAACATCCGGGCAGCAGTGATTTATGTTTTGGTTGTACGTAGCAAGCCGTTGAAGTTTGTAGAACAAGTTGGTTTTCATCCAACCTACCATGAATTGGTGACTGTGATTGCAATTATAGACACGCAATTCTTATTAAAAGCTGTTAGTTCTGGGCGCAGTGACCCAATCAATTTGCTTATGTTGTTGATCACAGAAAATTTTAATTGATGATTTGTTTATGGAGTGGATACCTTATAATAAATTTAAGGACATCAAACAAATTGGAAAAGGTTGATTTGGTAAAATATATAGTGCAACATGATTGGATGGATGTCAAAATGGAATCACAGACGAGAATGAAGAATACGTTCGGAAGCGCTAACTGTAGTCTTAAAATTAACTCATGATCAATTAAAGGATTTCTTGAATGAGATATTAATGATTGATTGATTAATTATTATTATTAATTATAATTAGGATTAAAATTCTAACAAATATTATTTGTTATTTTCTTTAATTACCCATGCATTATAAATGCCAGAAAAAAGACGTATCAGCATGGTTGAGCTTTATGGGATTTCTCAAGATCCCATTAATAAAGAATTCATCATGACCTTGGAATATGCAAAAGAAGGATCTTTAAGAAGTTTTTTATTGAAAAACCTTGGATATTTAAGTTCGACATGTTGTGGATTGCAATTAATCCAGGAAATAGATTGGTTCATCAAGATTTTCATAGTGATAATATTTTAATTCAAGATGGTGCTTTTATTTCTGATTTCAGGATTATCAACTGCGATTAATAAAAACAGCAACAATAAAATGATAGGTGTCTTGCGCCAAATTTTTATGCAGAAATCATATCATATACTAAAGCGACAGATATATAGTTTTGGCGTCATGATGACGGAGTTCTCAAAAGACAAATTCCCATTTAGCAACGAGACACATGGTACTGATTTGATTCTTGAAATTTGTTGTGAGGGGGTCAAGCAAAAGGAACATCAGATTTTTATACTTGTTTAGTGAAAAAATGAAAAAATGTCTTGATGTAAATCCAGTAAAAGACCAAATGCTGAACAAGTTTTGGAGTGCTTTACGCTCTAGTAATGAATATCTTAATGTAAGGAAAACGTGATGCTGATTGTACTGAGGAGCAATTGAAAGAAATGGAAATCATTAGACAATCATTTGTAAAATTAGATGAAATTAATTCAGAGCGTGCCTAAATCAAACATAGAAAATTATAAAGAAACAATATTTAAAAGTAGATTCTTTAGAGTTGAAGATGTTTCACAACTAGTGAGTTCTAGGGGCTATTCATAAGCTATAAAATCCGGCTGTAATTGCGATTTCAATTATTCACGACAATTTGTGTTGGGATAAATTTCAAAAATTCAATCATGTGATTTGATTTTTAATAAAACTATTGTAAAAAGTCAATTTTGGACACTTTATTTTTCTGTAAATTTTAACTTGATAAATTAGAAATTTTTATTTAATTTTTTTGTACATGAAAAATTCCCAAATTTGCAAAAAAAGATACAAGTATAAATAAACAATTTACATAAAACGTATATTTATATTAAAGGAACATTTAATATGTAAAAATAAATATTTCATTCATTTAATTAATCAAGAAGTTCTAAAATAACATGGACTTCGCCATTAGATTTTCCATCTTTAGAATATACACTACACCATCTATCAATGTATCTTTTATCATCAGCAAGTTCAAAATCGCCAAGATTTATTATTGCTTCACCAATCTAATAGTATATTATATGATTAAGCAAAATTTTTATTTTAAATAAACAATTATAAAAACTGCTAATATTTACAAATTCATCTTTGCCGATATCGTCATCTATAAGATGAAGAGTGATAGCCTTTTGATTTTCATATTTGCTAAATTTTTTGAGGAAAAGAGGATGTAAATAACAATACTATATTAGAAATAAATTATATATACTAACATTGTGTATCTTTTATCCCAAACAGGAGTGGTTGTTCCACATCTCGCCTCAGTTGTATATTTTTTAGTAGAATTATCAAACCAAAATTGAACGTATGGGTCACCTAAATAAATTAATAATTAATAGTAACAAATGATTTTCTGTGGAAGGACTTTTTTATCACACAAACCTTTGCCTATTAGTTATTTATATAAAAATGTATTAAATTATTATTAATTAAAAAACATTATAATTCAAATATACATCATTTATTAATATATTTACATACCAATAGTATCAGTGTCTTTAACTTCTTTTGCTTCAACTATTTTTTTTATAAAAAAAAACATCCAAAATGAAAAATAAAATTTTTGATAATTTGGCGAATTAAAAAATACTATATTTATTTTTTGTTGTTTTATTATTTAATTTTCTTACCAATATGAACTTCAATTTCTTTATACATTATTAAAAATTTTTAAAATTCAGAATTCAGAAAATAGAATGAATATTGAAAGATTTTAAATCTTTATTTTATGTTTCACGAAATCTTATAACATTTAAACAGGAATTAATTGCTAAGTTGTCAAGAAAATAAGTATGTATATATAGTAAGCATGATGGAAGTTCTATTTGTTACGTTTATCACTTTGTGACGATCTCAAATTTATGTGACTATATAATTTTAAAGTACTTTGGTATAATAAAAAATAAGTTTTACAAAAAAATATAGTTTCTACTCATGCCATCTCTAATGAAATAATTTTCACAGATTTTTACTAGAAGCAAAGAGGTTTTAAATAGTAATTTCGCTTTATTACAAAAAAAAAAAAACTTTTTTTCAATACAATCACAGATGAGACTCTGCTATTAGATGCAAAACCAAGCATAGATTGTTGTTTAAACATGTGCCATCTCTGACACGTCAAATACCTGCGGAGTTTGAGGTATTTCTTTATGGTATTATTAAACGATTTATTAAACTATTTTTATATACACAGACAGACTCGATAAGTCAGCCGCATAATTTATACTATTGAGTACTTTAAACAATTGATTACTGCGGGCTGACTTATCGAGTCTGTCTGTGTATATATAATTTAATTACAGATAAGTAATTTCTTACTCTATTATGAATAAAGGCTATTGCTTATATTACAAATTTAGAAAGACTGCAGGTAGATGTAACATTCTTATTAATATCCATCTATTAATACTTGTTTTTATTAATAGTTAGTTATATATGTAATTAATTATCCGAGTACAATATAATATGGTGAATGGACATGGATGGACAGACAAATATTAATAGTTAAATATTATTACTTCATAAATAGAACATTTATTTGAAAGATTTAGCTTTCTCTAATATAATAGCATCAGATGTAATATTGGCACATTAAAAGTAGCAGTAGCAGTAGCAGTAGCAGTAATAATATGACAATGGTAGTGTTCGCTATGATCAACGTTACACATTCCATATAAATCTTGATTTTCTCTAAAATTTTCTAATTTTGACAAAAACCTAAATTTTATTTTGTCACATTTATATCCGATAAATCAAACTTCCCACCATACTTATATAGTAAGTAGTATATATATAACAGCAATAGCTTATTTTCCCAAAGAAACACAAACACTCGGATTAGAAAAACGCCTTGTATAATATAAATTTTGGTGATCATCATTATGATTGCATGATAATAACCAACATCGCCAACATTATATTAACATGCACATATCCAAACCCACCCCATAACCCATAGACTGGAGTAACTGGACCCGAAACAAATCCTTTTCGAAATTGCTCGAAGATGGCGACAATGCAATAATATGTAAAGAAGGGTTGATGAAAACAAAAAATTTCGAGAGAAAATACTCATTGAGAAATTCCAAAATTTCTACATAATCCCAGTCAAAAATCAAAAATATTATTGGCTAAAACATGCAGATCTTTCATTGAAAAATGATTTATATGAAGAAAAACTCGGCGAGAGCTTTATTAAATGGTCATACAACTTCCAAAACCATGTATTACGTGTATTTTTAACTGTTTTACAAGCCTACCAAAAAATAGTCAATAGTTTTAAATTATAATCATAAAGTTACCAAAAAATGGATGTTCCATGCCTATAAAGTTGGTGTCTGCAACTGATTTGAAATTCTGCAACCAGTTGCGACCTAGGTTGGAACATCCCAAATTGCAATTTCTTAGATCAGACGCCAACTTTACACAACTCAATAATTATTGGTTTAAATATAGCTGTTTTGCCACTTTTTGACCCGTGATAGTTTATTTACCTATAAAAATTAATATCATAAATTTCCCTCCATTATTATTATATGTAACAGTTACTGTTGGTTTTTTCTAGTTATAAATAAACAGTAAAAATAAATAAAGTCAATAGCTACCATTGTGGTTATTAAATATATTTAATAATATTATTATTCTGGAACACATTCTAATTATTTTATATATTTAAATATATGAATTTTATACCTACAATCCAGGAACACTCATTAAATAACAGAAAACTGACAAATTTATAGTTTTTTACTTTTGATTTACGTAGTCATCATTTAATCAAAAATTTCTTGATGATATTGATATTTTAATAAAATTCTATCCTTTTGCTACATTCAATCAAATACCAAAATTTTCTTTTTAATAATAATTATTATTAAGAAATACTACTAGTAGTATTACCATTATTGATACTACTGCCTTTATTTAATGAATCAGAAAAAGAATTCTCATTATTTTATTTAAATTTATCAAATATTACATAGAAAAATTGTTGTTAGGTTAAATAGTATAGTAAGATAATGAATAATTAATATTATACATGAAGTTGAAATTAAAACCCCAAAGTTGAAATGTTTTGACTTAAGGCAGCTACATAGTAAAATCAGTTTCAACCTTATTTTGACCCTATTTTGAAATGGATTGAAATAATTTCAACTTCATGTATAATTAATATAATTAATTAATTTGAAAACTTCTAATTCATCAAATATACTATTGCCTACTATATTGATATTAACATAACTTGATGGTGTGCCATGAATATGATCTTCTTGAAAGTAAATATCACAACCACCAAAACCACTACCAAAACCTGGTAAACAATTTGGATGACAATAAATTGCATGTTGACGCTTGTTATTAATAACATAACTAAATTTTGCAGTATTAATATTATTTTTATTACTTATATTAAATATAAAACTTTCAGTTGTATTTTTATCAATCACCTTTCCATTCCAATTGAGGGGATTATAGCCACCAATTATTTGATCTGAATTTTGTATTTTGGCAACTACAAGAGTTTTGTTGATATTATCACATTTTTGATGAAATATAACTGGATTTAAACCATCTCTACTACTCCGATACAAAAGTTTGAATTTATATTTGACCTCCCTGAATGAACTATATGGTGGGTTTTTTCTATCAATCCAACTTGCAAAAAGCAAAGTAAGATTTTGATTGATTGTCAATGATTCAAGTGTTGAATTCAATTTTGAAATTCTTGATGATAATAAATTTAATTTTTGTTGTTTATCTGGAAGTAAATAATAATGTGAAATATCCTTCCATAAAGTCCAAGGAAAAAGCATATGATATGGCATAATTTTATTGAGAAAATCCTCTTTAGAAACATCCCGAAATCTTATCAGAGGAAGGAATTCTTTTAATGTGTTGCCTAAATCAACAAAATTTTGTGATGACCAATCATCAACATTATTATTATTATTGATTTCAGGATGTTTTGCCAATCCCCATTTAATAATGTTTTCCCAAATATCTATTTCATCAACAGAAAAATCATCTCTTTTGAGAATTTCCAATAGAATTGGTTTTTCCAATGATTTAAATTCCCTTGATTTGAATAATTTTTCACTATAATCACAAACCTTTTCTAAATAGATATTTTTTAATTCTTTAAATTTTTCATTAGCATAAATCAGTTGTAGAATTTTAACTGGATTTTCTTTTATATGATCTTCATAATTTTCAATGAAATATTTCATCATATATTCATAAAGTGATTCAATACCAAGTTCATCTGCTGAAGTTAATAGTTCTAATATTTCATCTCCAGAATAATTTTCAAATTCAAATTTACATGTGTATAAAAATCTTAAATAAAGAAATTATTAAACAGATTATTATTATTATAATATACATTCAAATAAACAATTCAATATAATAATAAATTTATTTAAACTTACTTGAGAATAGGATTGAAACATTTTTCACTAATATTAACTTTCTTAATATATAATATCCATTTTCTTTTGTTGCATTGCTTAACACATTGCCAAAGAATGGACAATGAGCTGATATGATAGATGCATGTGCATGAACTTCTTTAATGTTTGGTTCTACACCAACATATATTTTTACATCATAAAAATCTTCTGTATTTAATAATCTTTCATTTTCATTAAAATATTTTTCAAATATCAAATTCATTTTTAATTTTTTCAAAAAAAAAAGGCAAAAAAAAAAGGAATCTTTAAATAGTACCCCAAAATTTCAGTATATTAATATTAGTATACTGTATATAGTATTACGGTGCAGATCATCTATTACAGATAATCAATTTTACCAATGAGAGCTTTTTGCTTTTTTACGCATGCTGTGCCACTTGAGATCAAAAAATTTATTAAAGTTTGATCGCATCTTTGTTGTAAAAAGTGTCAAGACAATAGTCTATTTTATTAAATTCGAAACATATAAATATGACTGCCGTTCCCACATTTTTTTTCGTAACACCAACAACATAGAGATATTTCTCTCACTCAATCTTCTACATTCGGCCACGGCGTCTATCCTTCAGGCAATCAAGATGAAACTCAATTTTATGAATGAGTAAATAAATCAAGTGGCATTTTGCTGATCAATTCAAAAAATTTTTTTATAGATCTCTTGACTTGGACAGTTCAATCTTTTATATTCAGAAAGGACACTCCATCCATCTTTAAACATTCAAAATCGAAGTACAGTATATTTATTGATTTCGATTAGTGTATGTTGAAAGTATGAAATCCTAAACGGACCACAAAGGACAAACCTCAGAATTTGAAGATACAAAGTCTGATGATCAAACAAAAATTTAGATATAGTTATGAATATTATATTAAGAAATCAAGTATTTATGTAATAATTCGAATTTAATTTTTTGTTTGTAAGTAATGATAGTTGATTAATCTCATTTTACATAACTTTTTTTTAAAGATCTTTTTTTATTCAAAGACTTATTTGTAGAGGTTGGAATCGTCCAAAAAATCCTTAGTCGACTACTAGTTGGTCAAAAATTTCTTTAGTCAACTATTAGTTGATTATTTTAGTTGACTATTTTAGTTGATTATTTTAGTCGACTAAAGAAATTTTTTATAATAATAATATTTTTTTTTTTTTTTTTTTTTTTAATTTACAAATTACGAATTCATTTCCATTTGAATCTTTCAATACTTCCACACAAAACCATGTGTTACGATTCGTTTTTTTAACCCGCTTAAATCATTGGAACTTGAAGCCAATGAACTATTGGACCTTGTATTGAATGTGTTTATTCATTCACACGTAAAATTATTGTCATCATCATCATATTGGTGGTATTGATACTCTTCTGCATTGAAATTTTCCATTTTGAATGATAAAATACAAAAATCGTAATTGGTCAGACAATAATAATATTAGTATAGTATTAGTATAGTATTAGTATTAATATATAGTCAACTAATTGGTCGACTAAAATAGTCAATTAAATAGTCGACTATTAGTTGTTCAAAAAAATTTTTAGTCAATTCCAACCTCTACTTATTTGGTAATAAAGGAGGGGGTTAACCCGTGTCAACATGTCACATACAGCCAAGCACAAAAATTTGTTGATTTGCCACTCTTTCAATAACAATCATCAAATCATTCATTCAAAAAACAAATCATATTTATTTAAAAAAAATAAAAAATAAAAATATAAACTGATTCAAGCAGTTCCTTCATTAATATTGTGATCTATATCCTGAACCTCAACATCCTCCCCCTGATTTTCAACTGACAAATTTTCATCTACATTGGTGCTTTGCCCTTGTTGTTCACTTGGTCCATCACATTGATTAATGTTTCTGATCTTGATACATTCAAGGGAGTATCAAGGCACCTTTTTTGTTTGCTGCTTCTTCCTCATCACATGATACTTGTGGTGGCCTTTTATGTTGCGTTTGACAGTGCTGAGAATGACAACAATGTTGATGTTTTTTGCTGATGATCAGCTGATTGAATCTTAACAAATTATTGTTCCTTCTCTTGGCCTTGATTGTTGGGGCTTTGCTTTGTGCCAAACTGGTAAGACAACTCAATCTCACTATAGATGATTTCTTTTTCACGAAGAGCTCACCTGCTACTGAGAAGATCGCAGACGACTTTGTTGCTATAGCTACAGCCGAATACCGCCATTCGAGACTGTATACATGTACAGGATCATATAAATTTATTAGATGTTCCTTTTCATGATGAAGTAGCTTTGCTGATTCTGATCTTCCTTTTTCCTTTTTGCAAGGGGAAGAAAAAGCACCAAATAAGATGTCCTCTTTCAAGGTTCTTAAGTCTAAGCTTATTATTATCGCCTGAACCACACCTACACAAGAAAAATATCATTTGAAATTAATATATTGTATTATGTACATTTGCATGTTGGTAAAATGAATAATTAAAAAAAATTCTTACAAATAATTCAGACCCAATGTTAAGGAACGTCATGACCGAGTTTTCTCTAATTTCTTGAATCATATCATTGAAGCTCTGCCAAAATTTAGCTTTATGAATTCTTCGTTATCCATCTACTACATGCAGTACATGTGTAAGCCTCACATACAATTAATGATAAAATAGAAGCCATTATTTTAATTAACAAACAATTTATCTGTGTGATAGATTATTAAAAAAATAAGTTCAACAGATATTAATATTATTATGTGTTGTTAAAAAAAGGGTTTAAAGAATAAATTTCAAAAGATATTATGTGTCATTATTAAAAAATTATTATCATCAGATTTTATTGAAATTGAAATTGAAAGACCATCAAAGCGAAAAAAGATGGTTATATATTTCTAATAAGCACGGTTGATGATTACTTAGTAGTCGAGGAGGTCTTGTTACCATTCCTGTCGTGTTATCCTACAACGTTATTTGTTAATTTGTATTTTAATTTTTTCAATTAAAACAAAAGGATAAAAAGAAAATATTCAATTCATTATACCATTTAAAAAACGATTAATTATAGTTACAGTATGAAGGATTTCGTTGCACTGTTTTTAAAAAAATCCTGATAGCTTTTTTTTTTGAGATAGGAGGGAATTCTTTTACAATTAACAATCGAATTAGTAATTATTTTCGTACTCAAATTTTACGAGTTTTTCTTAAAAAAAATTGGTCGATTTCTTTAACAACGGTAAATTTTTCATTTTAATAAAAGCATTTATACATTTAATTTAAAGATTAATGACAACCTGGGGCGTCCTTTCACACGAATTTAAACTTTTGAGTATACATATGTAAACTCGATAAGTCGGTTTTGGTCAAAAGCTTTCATTCCTTTTTTTTTACCATTTAAAAAAATTCGATAAGTTGGTCAATCTATATAAAGTCACAATAAGTCGGTTTCATGTGATACATTACGCACATGACTATGCACAGGATGAAACTAAAAATTAAAAAAGTTTTCAATAAAAAGACAATTTCTTTTTATTAGCAACAACAACAACAATAATTGGATCTAATCTAAAATAAATAAAATATAATCAATTTCTATCCTTTATCTCAAAGCTAACAGTTAAAACCTGTGGAAATCATTAATCCGAGATAAATACACTCAATTTCTATCCTTTGTCTCGAATAAAGATGGAGTTTTTTTTAATCTGAAAATTAGAATAGAAAATCCTGAAATAATTGATGAAGAGAGATAATTGCTGCGGTACAAGGAACACTAGAAGAAGAAAAAAAAGAAGAAACTATGAGTACTCCAATATCATATACAGTTGCTTTGGATAGTATTCAAAATCTATTTAATTATTACAACAAGGTACTGATATGAAAGTAAGTAACTCCGTAATATCAGGAATGAGAGACCTACAACATCAAATTAGAAGAAAACAAAGCGCTTCTTTAAAGCAACCTAACTTGAAAAGTTTTTTTTGTAATGAATAATTCTAAACATTTTGTTATATTTTATTAAATAAAATTTATAGGCTCGATAAGTCGGACACATGTGCCTGACCTGCCTGACCGACTTATCAAGTTTACATCCGCACCGTATATAGATAGAATCAATTGAATTAAATGTCTGTTTTCCAATAAATTACTTACAGTATATTGGAAGGATCTTAAAATTTCGAATTATGGATAACATGTCCATATTGATATTGATGTTAATGTTAACGTTAAGTGTTGCCAAATTTTTTTTAAAAGATACAATTTCTATTTTTAATATATATAATAAATAAATAAAGAAAAAATGTGGGCCGGTAAAAAAAAAGCTTACTAGGAATTGATTGGTTTTTGGTATTTATTGTTATTATGATTATTATTATCCGTTTGATTGTATAAATGAATTTATATTTAATAATTAAGCCACTGTTAAATGTTTCAACATTTATAGAAATAAAAAAGTTTTTTTCTTAAAATAGAAATTAAACTTTGGGAAATGACTTCTAATTTGAGCAATGAAAAACAAAAAAATATGCCTCCCATTTTTTTATCTACATTCTTTATCAAGACTATCTCATCCAACGAAATTTAAATGGAAGCTCTCTGTATAAATCAAGCCAACCACGCATTCAGAGAAAGGGAATTTTTAAAGTGGTCAGTTTTGGATTAAATTAATAATTAATAATAATAATTAATGATTTTAATTAAAAAAATGTCCAGGCGGGATAAAAGTATTCGGTGACATTCCCCAACTTTGGCCAGCATCAGCAAAATAATTTTGAAATTGATGGTAAGAAAGCATCGAGAAAACAATTCCCCCTCTAGAACACTTTTGGCTTGACCATTTACAAGGCACAAAGGTTAACCCTACCACACGTAACGTTGAATGTTGACGAGAACATATTTGCTGAGGGTCAAGTATATGTTATACATCTTTGTTTGAACATTCTCGGTTAGAGGTCTTATAAAATTTAACAAGGTATATAGTAAAAAAAAAACAAAAATAAATTCGCCGGTCTCTGGGATTCAACTTTGTCTTGATTTACCGCATGAAATTTGTTTTTGTGTTACCGAGATTAAATCACGTATCCCAACTTAGGATTTTTGTTACTAAAAAAAAAAAACAAAGATGTAATTTAACCGATTCCGCAACAATTAATTATTATTATCATTCACAAAATAACGACAACAATTGCCTTTTTTAATCTGTTTTAATAAAAGTTTATTATTATAAAAGCAAGGAAAAAAAACGTTGATCTGAATTTTTATAACAATTTTAAAAAAACATCAAAATGTTTCAAGAACTAATTTTTTCGATTTTTTCCTCAATTATTATTTTTGCATTATATTATCATCGAAAACTTTTTTTCCATTCAAAAGAATTAGCAAATATTCCAACTATTTCAATTATAGAAATGTTTAAAGCAATATATCATAAAGCCCCACAAGATGAAATTCAAGCCATGTTTACCAAATTTGAGACCAAAGGACTTTCTAAAGTAGGTTTTATATTCTTTAAAAAATATAACTAAATAATTAAATGAATATTTGCGTCAATTAATTAAATATCATTTAAAAAAAAATTTAGTTTTGGATTTATAATAATTGGGAAGTATTCATTTCAAAATATGAATATGCAAAAGATTTCTTATCGGAATCAGGTAAATGATTTATATTTTGTATATATTAGTATACCAATACTCATACGTAATGGCATGTATATCTACCGAACAACCACAAAGCACGAAATACGTTCAATTTTTGTTAAAATAGCCTAAGCCTCGTCTTTCATTATACTGGATACTAATACTAATAACATCATTATTTCATATAGCTGAGGCGCTACCAAAATGGTCGCTTCCTGACAAGCACCCAACAAGAAAATTTTTGGGTGATGGTTTATCTTTTTCTAACGGACAAGTAAGTAATAACAATTACTTTTAATCATGTTGTTAAAAAATTTTTTTGCAAAAAAAATGTTAAAATTATTTAAAAATATAAATAAATCAAAAGAAATGGATTACGCATAGAAGGATAGCAAATCCTGCATTTAACCGTGCACTTTCCCCAGAAGTTGTTGGGAAAATAACAATTGATTTGATAAATTTACTTGATAAAATAGTTGACCAACCATTTGATATCTTTAAAGTAATGCAAAGAACCACCATACAAGTTTTAGGAAAAGTTGCATTTAATTATGATTTCAAGGTATTTAAATCAATCGAATCATAAAATTTTTTATTTACATTAATAATAAATAACATTAGATTTTATTTTTTTTAGTGTTTGGAAAATTTAGAAGCTCAACATGAGGTGATTGAGACTTATGTTAAAATTATAGATTTTCTTGGTGATCCACTTCTTTATGTTGTACCATGGTTACATAAATTTCAAAGAAAATCAAAAGCTGAATTTGAAAATGATTTAGAAATGTTTAATTACAATATGCTCAAAATCATTCAAAATAGAAGAGAAGAGATTAAAAAATCAAAACTTTCTAATAATGATGATAATGATAAAGATTCAACATTAAGAAATGATTTGTTATATGGGATGATTGAAGCTGCCAATGAAGAAAATTATGAAATGTCCTCTGATGATTTGAGAGATGAAATGGTCACTTTTTTCTTAGCTGGACATGACAGTAATTAATTATATTCTTTAATTTTGATTTTTTTTTAGGGAATTATAATATTAATCAATTATTTGGATAAAATATTTCATTTGATAGCAACTTCACATGCTTTGAGTGTAGCTTTCTACTATATGGCCAAATATCCTGTAATTATTGATTTAAATTTTTTCAAGAAATTAAAATTTATTTAATTACCAATTGTTAATCAATCAATCAATCAATCAATTAGGAGATACAAAATAAAGCCAGAGAAGAAGCAATCAGTGTCTTGGGTGTGAAAGGAAAAATTCCAACCTCAGAAGATTTAAAGGTAGTTATTTATAGTTGATCTATTTTATTAGAGTGTGTTCCAAATGAGATCATTGTCATTTTGGTGCTTCTTACTAAATACATACAAATATTTATATATTATATGATATAGAATCTTAAATATATTAATGCAATAATTAAAGAATCTTTACGTCTTTATCCAGCACTTGTTGAGACTCTTCCACGTCTCACCAAAAAAGAATTGAGATATGGCCAAATGATAATTCCAAAAAATACTATGGCAAGTGTTAATATTTGGGCTGTTCATCGTGATCCACAAAGTTGGCCGGACCCTGAAAAATTTAATCCGGAAAGATTCTTATCAAGTAAAGGTGATAATAATCTACATGCTTGGATGCCTTTCTCCGCCGGGCCAAGAAACTGGTAATTATTTTTTTATTCCAGCTTTTTGTTTTATTGATCTTTGAAAATAACAATCTGTCTGTTTTCTTTATTCAGTATTGGACAAAATTTCTCCTTAATGGAACAACGTATAATAATTTCAATGTTATGTAAGTAAAATATTTATTTATTTATTTATTATTGATGAATTATTTGAATTAACACCCAACAATAATCTTAATAATATATTTCTACTCCCACACTTTTCAGTATTGAATTATGACATTAGTTTGCCACTAAAATCTCCTCATAAAGATAAAATACTAATTAATGTTTCGACTTTAATAAGACCGGTAGATTTGAAATTGATTTTTTCAAAAAGAAAATAACAAATTTCATATGCATGCTGTAATAGTAACCCCACTCTTTTTTTAATCGAATTAATATTCAATAAAACTTATTTAATTCTTTTCTGTTAGTAAAAAGACCTTTATTCTTTATCTTCTTTTTTATGGTAGCGCGGTGGTCGTGGTTTTGTGGCCCTATAAAAATAATTTATTGAAAACGTACGTTATTAATATATGAATTAATATGGAATATGAGTAATAGCAATAGTATCAACGAAAATGAAAATTGATAAGAGCATACAATAAAGTACCGTGACCTTCATAGTGGTAATGTTCTTTATCAAAAATATGACATTCAGCTGACCATGCATATAGAGTATTACATACATTGCATTAAAAGTATTAAACGGTAAACGGCATTTAGTTTTGTGGAATACAGTCAAACCTTGTCATAACGGATTTCGATCTAGTACAAATTTAAAAGGTATCTGCAGAAATATTGTATTTGATTGGATATTTCTGCAGATACATTCTAAATTTGTACTAGATCGAAATCCGTTATGACAAGGTTTGACTGTATTGATGTCAGCAGCATCAACAGGTCAACAAAGACCATCTAATAGTTTGTCACATAATTTATAAAATATGTGAGGCTTCGAGACTTGATTTTCTACATTGGACTAACATATAAGTGTACGAATGAATGACCGACTGTTATAATTAATTCCGATTTCTTGTAATAAATGCCGTATTTATGGTAGATTAATTTTTATAAATCTCTTGATTCTTCACTTGGAGGACATTAAAGGTGGATAATCAAATACAGCCCATTCGGCGGTAGTAATATGGAGGAGATGTAATTTAATGCTGAGGTTGAAGTGGACATTTAATTAACATATTTTACACCACATTTAGTTCCTGTTTGAGAAGAATTGATTTGCATTTAATTCTTCAATAACACGGACTTGACAAAATCTTGAGGATGAAAAACAAAAAATAGCTCAGTAGAATTTGATGCCTTGGGTGATGTCAAATTTGGAGATTGATTAGACGAAACAAATAACGGGCAGCTGTTAGTAGCATTACATAAAGTTTGGAAAACACCAAAATATGAATTATCGTGAAAAACTGCAGGTAAATGAAGAGTCAACATCGTAATCAGGAAACCCTACTTAAATAAGTAATTCCTCATTATATCTTATTGTTAATATATTGTCATTAATCTAATGAGTGGAAAGAGATGCTGAGCGGTGAATTACAAAAAGGCGCTTGGAAATTTGTGAACGAATGCATAATTCAGCATTTACCTGGAAACTGGCTGTCCAAACTTAAAATCCTATTATATTACTAAACATACTTGTAACAATCTTTTTTTATGAAATTTATGTTAAATGATATCAGTAAATAAAAATATATATTTTCTACCAAAACGTGTGAAATCACGTGTAATTATTATCAGAGTTCAAAGTTTATATAAACGAGTTGCTGTTACAACTCTTATTTAATATACAATGCTCTCCCATTGGTATTGAAATATAAATTATTAAATTTTCATTATCTGGATTAAAATATATAAATTTTGACTTGTTAAATCAGTAGACAATATTGGTTTTTGCAACACTTTTCCTATTTTTAAAGTTTACAATACATAAAACATATCATTCCCAAGATATACAGTATTTTTCTTCTTGGTTTGCATACAAAAAAGTTCGGTTTGAAGCTTTAAAACAAAATGGTAAGAAATTGTTTATAGACATCAAGAAATTTTATATGGAGTGTATGAAATTAATTGACTATTGAATTAAATGATGACTGGGATTAATGGATGAAAGAATTGACTTACAAGAGAATTTATCCTTTGATAATGATGATGTTTTAATAAATTGCATCCTTTTGCTATATTCAATCAAGTACCAAATTTCTCTTTTTAATAATTATAATTATTATTAAGAAATACTACTAGTAGCATTACCATTATACTGCCTTTATTTAATGAATCAGAAAAAGAATTCTCATTATTTTATTTAAATTTATCAAATATTACATAGAAAAAATGTTGTTAGGTAAATAGTATGGTAAGATAATAAATAATTAATATGGTTAATTAATTTGAAAAACTTCTAATTCATCAAATCTACTACTATCTACTAAATTGATATTAGCATAACTTGATGGCCTGGTATGAATACTACCATTTTTTTCAAAATAAATATCAAATTCACCACTAAAACCACTACCAAAAAGTGGTAAACAATTTGGATGACAATAAATTGCATGTTCACACTTGTTATTAATAACATAACTAAATTGTGCAGTATTAATATTATTTTTATTACTTATATTAAATATAAAACTTTCAGTTGTATTTTTATCAATCACCTTTCCATTCCAATTGAGGGGATTATAGCCACCAACTATTTGATCTGAATTTTGTATTTTGGCAACTACAAGAGTTTTGTTGATATTATCACATTTTTGATGAAATATAACTGGATTTAAACCATCTCTACTACTCCGATACAAAAGTTTGAATTTATATTTGACCTCCCTGAATGAACTATATGGTGGGTTTTTTCTATCAATCCAACTTGCAAAAAGCAAAGTAAGATTTTGATTGATTGTCAATGATTCAAGTGTTGAATTCAATTTTGAAATTCTTGATGATAATAAATTTAATTTTTGTTGTTTATCTGGAAGTAAATAATAATGTGAAATATCCTTCCATAAAGTCCAAGGAAAAAGCATATGATATGGCATAATTTTATTGAGAAAATCCTCTTTAGAAACATCCCGAAATCTTATCAGAGAAAGGAATTCTTTTAATGTGTTGCCTAAATCAACAAAATTTTGTGATGACCAATCTTCAACATTATTATTATTATTGATTTCAGGATGTTTTGCCAATCCCCATTTAATAATGTTTTCCCAAATATCTATTTCATCAACAGAAAAATCATCTCTTTTGAGAATTTCCAATAGAATTGGTTTTTCCAATGATTTAAATTCCCTTGATTTGAATAATTTTTCACTATAATCACAAACCTTTTCTAAATAGATATTTTTTAATTCTTTAAATTTTTCATTAGCATAAATCAGTTGTAGAATTTTAACTGGATTTTCTTTTATATGATCTTCATAATTTTCAATGAAATATTTCATCATATATTCATAAAGTGATTCAATACCAAGTTCATCTGCTGAAGTTAATAGTTCTAATATTTCATCTCCAGAATAATTTTCAAATTCAAATTTACATGTGTATAAAAATCTTAAATAAAGAAATTATTAAACAGATTATTATTATTATAATATACATTCAAATAAACAATTCAATATAATAATAAATTTATTTAAACTTACTTGAGAATAGGATTGAAACATTTTTCACTAATATTAACTTTCTTAATAATATAATATCCATTTTCTTTTGTTGCATTGCTTAACACATTGCCAAAGAATGGACAATGAGCTGATATGATAGATGCATGTGCATGAACTTCTTTAATGTTTGGTTCTACACCAACATATATTTTTACATCATAAAAATCTTCAGTGTTTAACAATCTTTCATTTTCATTAAAATATTTTTCAAATATTGAATTCATTTTCTTTTTTCAAAAAAAATTATTAAATGAAGATCGCCAATGGCCAATCGCATGTTAATTATAATTGTAGTAATAGTAAGGATTTATAAATGATTAAATAACTATATAACAACCTTGATTCAAATAATTAATATAAAGTCATAAATTTATAAGGAAATATCATAAACGGTAATAAGTAAAAAAGGAAACTAAGAAAAAAACTATATAGTTGCAAACGAAAAGCAGTATAAAAAAAATACAATTTAACCTATCATTATTTGCCTTTAATCAATTACCATTATCCGGAAAAAAAATTAGTATATAGCTCAGCTATTAGATCTTTGCCACTTCCTTGTCCAGAAACAAAAGCAATAGCAAGGCCTTTGTGAACTATGTTTCAATCGTTGCCCGTAATATCTACGGTAATTGGAACAAGAAAAACGCCAACTCTTCAAGTTGAGCAACCTTTATGGTAACTCGTGACTGCTCGGTCTTCCTCGGAGTGTGCTATTAGGTTGTTATACGTGAATAATACGACTGTTTTATTTGCTGGACAGACCATTTTAAAATTGTAAACTTTCCGCCCATTTTTTATAATAATTTAATTATTTACGACCCAACAAAATTTGATAATTTATAGAATATAATGATTATATATATATAATAATGTTGTGAATTGCGCGATTTCATATAATTTTGAACTTTTCGGGAAAACTTTCAAGTTTTCACAATTTAACTTGAAATTGATTTTTGATTTTTGTAGGTTATCGAATATTTAATTCACCAAATCTACTTATATACCATAAACACTACCATCTAATCAAACCAAATATCGTAGCCATGACCAAAAACAAGTATCACTCACTATTACAAATCGAATGGTGATCTTTATTATTAATAGCATAACTAATAATAATATTAAATGTATCTATTATATAAACTACTGCCTCTTTAACTCTTATTAAATGGATTATAACCACCAACTATTTGCTCTAAAGTTTTTAATTTGACAACCAAACATTTTTGATCAACCTTATTGCTCTGATATATAAGTTTAATTTATATTTGACCTTATTGAATGAAGTATATGGTATATTTTTTCTGTCAATTCAACTTGCAAAAGGTAAAGTAACCGACCGTTCCATTTATAATTATTAATCTAGATAACTGATATCTTGTCTTGATAAGTTTAAATTTAAAATAAGTTGATCATCTGGAATAAGAATGGTTGACTAGATTCATATTTA